CCCAGCGGTGGCCCCGCGAAGGCGGGCGGCAGCCGGGGCGACATGGGCAGCGCCGAGGAGGATTATAACTTTGTCTTTAAGGGTGAGTCCTGTGCTCGATGTGAGCCCCCTTCCCCTAAAGGGATGGAGCAGGAGGCCAGGGGCTACGGGGAGGGAACTGGGGTGGCTTCCCCCGGGGCTGCTGTGTCCTGAACCGGGACGTTGTTGACTGTCTGTGCAACTGTGATGGGCACTGGAGCTGCAAAGGGTCAGGGAGTTGGGGAGCAGGCACTGGCCTCGGCCATGTCCCCAACTGACAGCAGCGAGGCCAGGGCTGACAAGCGATATCTGGATCCATGGAGTCATGGGGAGATCCACATACCACCCCAAGGCTTCAGGTGGGGTGCTGGGTGAATTGCTGGTGTGAGGTGTAGGGGCTGTGACAGCTGGGGTTGAGCATGTGAGACATAAAGGCAGTGTGAGTCCGTAACTCCCACGAGCAGCAGGCGTTGAAAAGTCATTTTGCTGTGGTGACCAGGGCGGTGGCACATGCAGAGGACATAGGGGTCAAACCTAGGCTGGAGAAACAGGGGCACAGCCTCACACCTTCCAGCCTGAGCTCCTCAGACACAGGGCCCTGGCATCCTGTGTCTCTGCGGGGTGCTACTGGCCAGACCCCCCAGGGGCTCAGAGCTCTCCTTTGGCAAGCAGAGACAGACAGGCTCTGATGTGCCACCCATCCTGGGTGCCCACTGCAACAGGGTGACCCAGGGCTCACCAGCATCCTCAGCCTGCTCCTGCTGCCCAGAGCTGTGACTCTTATGAACAGCTCTGGGACTGTACCAGCAGATGGGGAGCATAGCTGGGCTGCGCCGAGGTGGCTCGGCCACACTCAAGGGGCTGAGAGCTCATGGCACAGGGACAGACCCCAGTTTGCTGAAGGAGCAAACACACCAGGTGTTAAGTCCACGCACCTGCCCAGCTTCTGTGCCCGGTCTGGCGTCACTGGGCAATGAGTGATGCCCATGCAGCCAATGCCAGTAGCGGGGCAGTCTAGTGGGATTTCTCCTTCCTCCCACAGTCGTCCTAATTGGGGAGTCCGGGGTGGGCAAAACCAACCTGCTCTCCCGCTTCACCCGCAATGAGTTCAACCATGACAGCCGCACCACCATCGGCGTGGAGTTCTCCACCCGCACAATCCTCGTGGGAGATGCTGTGGTGAAGGCTCAGATCTGGGACACTGCGGGGCTGGAGCGGTACCGCGCCATCACGTCAGCGTAAGGATGGGATGCCCGAAATCCGGGCTCCTCTGGGACCTGGGGGGTGATGCCCTCATACTTGAGCCCTATGGGTGAGGTGTTGAGGGGGGATGTCCGGAGCGTGAGGTGATGGTGGGGTTCTGCCACAGGTATTACCGGGGGGCCGTGGGTGCCCTGGTTGTGTTTGACATCACCAAGCACCAGACGTATGATGTGGTGGACCGCTGGCTGAAGGAGCTCTATGACCATGCCGAGGCCAGCATTGTCGTCATGCTGGTGGGGAACAAGACCGACCTCGCACAGGCTCGAGAGGTGCCCATGGAGGAGGCAAAAATGTTTGCAGGTACAGGCTGGCACCCTGCCACAGGGGCTGGGGGCTTGGGAACCCCCCCGGCAACAGGGACTTGCACCAGTGCAGGCACCTGAACATCTCCAAAGGGGCTCTAGAATGGAGCCGTGCCCTTTCTGGGATCTGCATTGTCTCAGGGACTCCTCTACTTGCAGACAACAAAGGGCTGCTATTTGTGGAGACGTCAGCGCTGGACTCCACCAACGTTGAGCAGGCTTTCGAGACCATCCTGAAGGGTATGGGCACTGGTGCCATGGTGCAGCAGGGTCTTGGGCCATTGCAGGGTCCATTCTCGGGGACGCAGTGGTGGGCAAAGGATGTGCAGAGCTTCTCTCCTCTGCCCTGCCCCACCTGAGCTCTTTGGGGCTGGTTTCGGTGTTGGCTTTCTGGCTGGTTTGGTTTCCAGCCTTTGGTGCTGGGCGTTTCTCTCCCCACACCCACAGCTTTGTTCTCATGGCCCTTGGGCATTCCCAAAGCCCCAGAGGCTCCTTCTCCCCCATAATCTCCAGTCCCCTTCCTGTTGTCTTGGCTCCTGACTCAACGTCTCCAGCACCCTGCTGAACTGGCCATGGGGACCTGGGGATAGGGATGGAGGGGGGTGATTCTTGGCTTATGCAGGAGCAGCTCTCCAGGAACGGCAGCCAGCAGCACCAGGGCAGCCAGATGTGCTGTGCCATGCCAAGCCATGCTGTGCTGTGCCATGCTGTGCCGGGCTCTGCCGAGCCAGCCTGGCCCGGTGAGCTGCCAGCCCCAGTGCAGGGCGAAGCACTAATCCCAGGTTGGGCAAGAGGAAATTGCCTAAGCACAGGGTGTTCCCCTGGTGCCACAGGGATGCAACCTGGCAGAGCTGCTCCTTTGTCATCTCTCAACTCACCCCTCTGCTGCGTAGAGGGGAAGGAGAGCCATGGGCGAACAGCAGGGGCTGCAGGCTTGAGGCTGACCCTGCTTCCCCAGGGGCCTGGGCTGACACACAGACCCCCCAGCACCTCTTCTTTTGCAGAGATCTTCCACAAAGTGCAGAAACAGAAGCAGAGGAGCAGCCAAAGCAACACGGTGTCACTTGCCAGTGAGAGCCCTGCAAGCACGGCCCCAGCACAGGCGGAGAGGCGCCCGTGCTGTGTGGCCCTCTGAACCAGCCGGGCACCCTGGGAAGCCCCCAGGGAACCCCACAATCCTGGGACATGCCAATGGCATAGAGCTGGGTCTGCCTCTGGCTACCAGCACAGGCTGTGCTGCCTGTGGTGCCACCCTCGTCCTGGTGCAGTGGGGACCAGCAGCCTGGACAGGGGCCAAATTCTGTCATAAATGGTGAGAAGCACCTGTGCCGGGAGCTCTTCTCTCTCTGTTGTGTTTTTGCCGGGCCCTGATTAGTATCACCACCATCATGCACTGTCCCAGTCCCTCTGGACCTGCAGGACAGAGAACTGGAATACCTCTAAGGCACTGCTGGGGAAGGAGCCAGGAGGTTCTGGCCAGGGTTATGCCAGCAACAGGAGCCTCTCAGATTGCCTCTGGCCCTGGAGTTGCTCCTGTGCCACACGCTGGGGATGTGGCTGACCCACAGGTGTCCATCCTGCCAGGGACTGCTCTGGAGTTGAGCCAATCCCTAAGGAGTGAGTGGCAGCACTCAGCCCTTGGCTCACTTCTGTCCCATCCCAAACATGGGCAAGTTTGACAGCAGGACCAAGTGAAGGTCCCTGCTGTCTGCATGGTGGGACAGGACTCGTTGCAGGGCCCGGTGCCACGGGGCCAGGAACAACAGCTCTGTGTCCAGAGCAGGGGTGACGCAATCATTAAAGGACTTGTGAAATGCAGGTTTGCTGAGCTGGAATTCCTGCATGTTTGTGGTCGACTCCCTGGGTCCCCACCTTCATAACGTGCTGGACACAGCAGCCTCCAAAGCAGCACAGCTGGATGCCATGGCCCCCCTGCGCCCCCTCCCACACCAATGCCATGGTTCCTCTGTGCCCCTCCCACCCCAAAGCTGTACTCCCCCTGCAGCCCCTCCCCAGGCAGCCTTTACCAGTCCACATCCCCCATTTGGACTTCATCAGTCCAAACGATGATGCAGCCTCCGCCAGTTATCCGAAACCCCTCGGAAATTCCTGCTGGATTCTCCATGTCTTCACTCACTTTCCCTTTGCACCATGCCAGCTGTGCCCTGCCCAGGTCCCTGTCCCAGCCATGGTTCTGCATGGAGTGTGTGGCCATCACCGTCCCTATCAGTGGCAAACACAGGTGGTGGCCTGTACCTGCTGCTGTGCAGATCCCTGCCCCCCCTTACCTGGCCCAGGTGAGCACACCTGGGCTATGACGGGCAGCCCCAGCTGCCAATGGGTGTGGAGCAGGAAGGGCTGTGGCCACCAATGGGTGGCACAGGACAGCCCCTGCCAGGGCTGGATAAGGCCTGGAAATCCCGGTTAGCCCAGTGGGAGTGGGGCTGTGGTGCCGGGCGAGATGCGAGGCAAGGACGATGAGTACGATTATCTCTTCAAAGGTGGGTCTCCTGCCTGTGCTGTGCTGGCCATGCCTGTAGTGAGCTGTGCCAGTCTCAGCCTCCTGCTGGCAGGGCTGGCTCCATGCAGCACCCTTGAGATGGGGCTGGAAGCTTGTACTGGGATATAACACCCAGTTCCCAGTGCTGGGGACCAGCACGTAGGCTTGTTGTGACGTTTCCCTCTGCTGAGCAGGGAGCGGGTACTGGTGGGACTGGGGTTGAAATGCTGCCATGGTCTGAGGGTTTGCTTAGAGCTGGGCTGATGGTTTGTGGTCCCAGTGCTAATTACAGCAGCTCGTTAGTGCTGCGGGAGGAGGCTGGAGCCCTCGCCTGAGTGCAGTGTCCTGGGAGGGGCGGCCGTGGCTGCGGCAGGGTGCTGGTCCCTGGGGGCGGTGGGCGAGGCAGGTCTGTGGGGCTCTGTGGGTGCTATGCTTGCCCCTGAGCACCTGTGAGTGCTCTCCTCTGCCGGGCTGGCTGGGGGGAGCATGTCTGGGGGCTGAGTGAGAGACCCCAGGAGGGAAAGCTGTGCCAACCCCCAGCATTGGTGGAGGGGAAGGATCCTGGGGTCTGGGGTTGTCCTTCTTGGTGCTGGTCCTGGTGGGACACCTCCAATGTGCACAGGAGGACAGGGACTGGTCCTTGGAGACACAGTGTTGGCATTCCTGGCTATGGGAGCCCAGCACCCCTGTGGAGCATCCCCATCCCTGTGTATGGCAGGCTTCCCTACTATCTGCTGTGGCTGGAGCAGGTGCTGGGGAAGCAAGGGGACATTTTGGGCCAGAGTGGGTGCTGGCAAAGCCAGGGGACATCTTAGCAACGCCACAACCTCCTGAGCCATAAAACCGGGGCGTGAGCTCACCGGCGGGCGGCCGTGAGTCAGCCTGCCCACACAGCCCTGCCCGAAACGCCCCGAGTAATTCCAGCCACCGACACCATGTAATTCCAACCAGCGACATGCTGGTAGCCCCTGCCTCCTCACACACCTCCCCTGGCCTCTGCCCAGGAAAATCCTCCTCCCTGGAGTTATTCTGGGACCTGGTGAGGGGGAAACTCTGATGCTGGGTGGTGCCTTGAGCGAGGCACCCAGGCAGGAGCTCCCCCGGCTGCTGTGCCCTGCACTTCCTGGCCGGTGCTGTGCCAGCAGAACAGCTCTGAGGGGGCTCCAGCACATGATCCTCCTGTGCCTATCCGTTCCCTGTGTCCAGGGGCATGGAGCTGGGCTGGTGCTCCTGGGCTACAACAGCTCAACTCCTCCCCTGAGAGAAGGAACATGATCACAGCTGGAAAGCAGCATAATTCCAGCTTTCACTGAGACAGGAGCATCAACTGTTGTGATGCTCATTCCGGCTGTGCTTGTGGGAAGGCCCTGATGCTGCTGGAGGGGCTCAGGGTGGATGAGGCACAGCTCTGGGCATGGCTGCTTCTGGGAGCCCTCCTTGGGGCCCTGTGTGGAGGTACAGGCTGTTTCCACCCCCTCCCCTGCAGTGGGACACGGTGTGCTGAGGATGTTTGCTGGTGCTCGCAGGATGCCCGTTTGAAGGCGATGAGGACGGAGTGTGTCAAATGCTTTTGCTGCTCCAGTCCCTCACGCCCTTCGGGCTCAGGGGGATGAGGCTCAGCACATTACCCCTGGAGGCTGCAGGGCCCTGCCGACCCACCCCTTCCCTGCATCCATAGTGTGGTCCAAAGCCCTCTGGAGCCTGCCATGGAGCACGGCACTGCCGGGATGGGGGTTGCAGCTCAGGAGTTGCAGTTGGGAGTTTAGCTGGGGAAGCAGCAACTTCCCTTTGGTTAAGGACTGAGCCCAGATCAAAGCTTCGATGCTCAGGAAGTGTTAACGAGCCTGGCTTATCACTGGCCTGCATTTTCCTGTTGGCTGGTCCAGAGTATTGCAGACTGTCTCAGTCCTCCCAGACCTCCATGCAGTGAGCAGCAGCCGAGGAGCCAATGCTGTCCTGGGCACATCCCCCAGCATGGGCAGCAGGGCAAGGCAGGGATTCTGCCCCCCTGCAGAGCTGCCTCCAGCCCTGGGGCCCCAGCACAGGAGGGATGTGGAGCTGCTGGAGTGAGTCCAGACAAGACCATGGAGCTGCTCCAAGCGCTGGAGCCCCTCTGCTCTGGAGACAGGCTGGGAGAGCTGGAGGTGTTCACCTGGAGAAGAGAAGGCTCCAGGGAGACCTTCGAGCCCCTTCCAGTGCCTAAAGGAGCATCAAGAGAGCTGGAGAAGGACTTGGGACAAGGGTCTGGAGTGACAGGACAAGGGAGAAATGGCTTCCCACTGCCAGAGGGCAGGGTTAGATGGGATCTTGGGAAGAAATTCTTGGCTGTGAGGGTGGTGAGGCCCTGGCACAGGATGCCCAGAGAAGCTGTGGCTGCCCCATCCCTGGAAGTGTCCAAGGTCGGGTTGGATGGGACTTGAAGCAACTTGCTCTAGTGGAAGATGTCCCTGCCCATGGTAGGACACCCCCTAGATGGGCTTTAAAGTCCCATCCACCCAAACCATTCTGTGCTGCTGTGGAGGAGCTGCCCTTCCCTCTGTCACTGGCTGTCCTGACACGGTGATTGCCAGTGAGGCTCAGGTGCTTTCCAGCTGTCCTTGGTGACCCCAGGGACCTGCTCCATGTGCTGTTGGGCTTCCTGGAGCCAAGCTGTTTGCTGGCTGCCCTTCACTGAGGGTTTTGGCAAGGGAGTGGCTGCATTGTTGAATGTTCTGCACCCCAGTCCATGCAAGAGAGCCATGTCAATGAGCTGGAGCTGGTGGGCAGGGGTTATCCAGGACATGGAGCAACATCCTTGGAGGATGGTGTCTGCTGAGCCTTGACTGAGTGTAGCTGTGCCTTGCTGTAACTCCTGCAGTATGTGGCATCCTGGTGATCCCTTGCTGATGCTGCTGCTCTGATGTCCTCCCCATCGTGGTCACTGGATGGTCATGACCTCAGCTGTTGTCTGACCATGGTGGGGAGAAGTGTCCGACAGGGTGGGCAAAGTGAAGTGTCTGAGTGCACTTGGGGAACGAACAGGCTTGGCAGTGAGGGAATTAAAAATAAATTAAAAAAAATAAAAATGAAAACCTGTTGAGTCATAAACTCAACCAACTTGACAGGGGAGGCGTGTCATAAAGCTCCCCAGAGCCTGTTGCACCAGGTTTTACCGGAACCAGCCAGACGTGGGACAAGCAGAAAATGCACTTAACCCACATCCAGGGACTTATCGGCTCACGGGTTGGACCAGCAACAGCGGAGGAGGAGGAGGAGGAGGATGTTTCTTTTCAGACCTGGTCTTTAAGTCCTCCCGTGTGCCCTCAGGGTGGGAGGCCACAGAGGGTTGGAAGAAGGAGCCCCAGCTCTGCCTGGCTTCTGGCCTGGTCCAGCAGGACCTGCACAGGTCCTGGCCCTGGTTTTCTGCCCCTTTTGGGTACATTAGTGCATACGACACCTTCCTGTCTCCAGGGCTGGGACAGAAACCCCTGGCAACTTCCCATTGATGGCAGGAATTTTCTTGAGGGGTATTTATAGGCAGTAGTGATGCCACCAGGAGGAGTGGAGGAGGCTGATCCTGCTCTGCTTCGCCCCTCACCCAGCAGCTTCTCCTGGAGGAGATAGAGGTGGAGTCTGGGCTGTGGGATGGGTGGCTTTGCTGGTGTCTAGGGGAGCTGACACTGTGCTTGTGCTCCCCCCAGTTGTGCTCATTGGGGACTCTGGGGTGGGGAAGAGCAACCTGCTGTCACGCTTCACCCGCAATGAGTTCAACCTGGAGAGCAAGAGCACCATCGGGGTGGAATTTGCCACGAGGAGCATCCAGGTGGACAACAAGACGGTGAAGGCTCAGATCTGGGACACGGCCGGGCAGGAGCGGTACCGTGCCATCACCTCAGCGTGAGTTTCCTTGCTCCCCACCTGTGGCTCTCACCTGGGGCCCTGCTGTGACCCCGTCCCCTCGCTGTCCCCCAGGTACTACCGGGGGGCGGTGGGAGCTCTGCTTGTCTACGACATCGCCAAGTACCTGACATATGAGAATGCCGAGCGCTGGCTGAAGGAGCTGCAGGACCACGCTGATGCCAACATTGTCATCATGCTGGTGGGCAACAAGAGTGACCTGCGGCACCTGCGGGCTGTGCCCACTGACGAGGCCAGGAGCTTTGCAGGTATCTTCCCCCATCCTGTCCAATCCCATCCCATCCCATCTGGCTGAAGCTCACAGAACCCATCTGAGCTCACCCTGTCCTTGCAGAGAAGAATGGGCTGTCCTTCCTTGAGACATCTGCTCTGGACTCCACGAATGTGGAGATGGCTTTCCACAACATCCTCTCAGGTAAGGGGCAACCAGGAAAGGGAGGGGGCAGGGATAGGGATGGCTTTGGACCTTGTGTCCTCTCAGGATCCTCCTGGGGACCCCATCTGTACTGGGTGGGATTTCGAGTGGAATCCTTTTCCCTGGATGGGGAGATGTTTGCATTTGTACCCCTGGAACTGTGTGTTTGGAGAGGGGGCAGGTCCCCCACTGACATATGTACTTAAAGAATTGTTTTTTCTCTTCCTTTCCTCTCTCTGTTGGCAGAGATCTACCGCATCGTGTCCCAGAGGCAGATCACTGGGCAGCCGGAGTCAGAGTTTGGCCCCAGCACCACCATTGAGCCCATCCGGGTGCTGCCCACGCAGCAGGAGGGCCGGCAGACCCCCTGCTGCCAGAACATCTGAGCCCCTGGACTGCCCCCACCGTGACGGTCCACCACCCAGCACGTGGTGGCATCATGTGTCTCACCCTCTGCCTCTGCCCCCCACAACCCCCTGAGCCAGACAGGCTGGCAGCTGCTTTTGTCTGCAACCTCACGCTGCCCATGCGCTGCTCTCCCTGTGTTTATGTAGGACCTACAAAAATGGGGGGGGAGGCAAAGCATCAGGGTGTCTCCCCTCTCTCCCCGTGATTGGGGACATGCCATTCCCTGTGTCCCTGCTCCCTCTAGCCCTGCAGGCACAGTCACTGAGTGGCTGCGTGGCACTGAACAAGCCTGAACGTGATGAGTCCCTGTTTGGTGACGCCCTGGGTGCAGCCCTGCAGGGAGGGGGACACCGGGTGCACCTTTCTCCCGCCCAGTGAAAGGAGCAGCAACATGGCCAGTTGCACCCAGCCCTTCCCCTGTGACACCGAGGGCTGGAAGTGCCCCTGGGTGCTGCTAGGGACATTGGGGTGGGGTGTGGGGATGACACTGTTTTCATGCTGTGACCCCTTCGAGGCATGGCCCCAGCTGTGACTCTTCCATGGAAAGAGATGGGAGCAGGAACTGGGGAGCCATGGCTTCTGGGGAGGCCTGAGGAGGGGACAAGGGGGGCCAGGGCTTTGGGGACTGAGGGTGAGGGCATGGATAGGGTGCTGAGGGCAAGCACATGGTCCCTCCACACAGCTCCCTGTGTGGGGGCCAGTGCCAGCACTGGGGACCCCTTAGCTCTGGCTCTCAGGAGCCCCTGGTACGGGTTGACCCTGCTCCACTCCAGTGTTTGGCCACTGGTGGCTGGTGCCCTCATGGCCCAGCCTGGGGACATGGTGCCATTAGATGGAGCATCTGCTGCACCTGCAGGGTGAGAGTGGCCCTGTCCCCTGCCTGGAGGGCAGCAGCCACCCCCCAGGGTGGGCACCTCCGAAGGTGCTGGGACAGACTGGGCTGGGCCCAACCCCTGTCAAGGGTCATAGGCAGGTATCAATCAGGACTGGTGCAAGTGGGAGAGCCTGTCCCCACTGAACCAGTGCTGGGGGTCTCTGTCTCTCCGTGGCTGCCCCCCATCACCCCATCTCACTTGACTGTGTCGGCAGGATCTGGGCCAACCACTCACCTTGGGGTGAAATTTGTCGATGAAACAGGAATTGAGGCAAAATCCCCAAATAAAGCTGCTATTGAGAGTCTTTCTTTCTCTGCCAGGGCAGTTCCTTGAGGCAGGAGCAGTGCCAGCCCCACACGGGGCAGCTGGGCAGCATTCCCAAGCAATGAAGGGTGAGGAGGAGGAGGGCAGGGAGGAAAGTGTGACTGTAACCTGGGCAAGGGGAGGGCAGGGAGGAAAGTGTGACTGTAACCTGGGCAAGGGGGTGCCCTCCTGGGAAACTGGAGAGGAGAGCTTGGAATTCAGGCTCAGAGGGGCAGGTTGGATCATGCTGCCAGCACAGGGGCAGCGTTGCAGGGCACAAACCGGGCATGGGAGCAGCTGCACTACGTGGATGTCAGCCCCAAGTGGGTCTGGGTTGCCCCTTTTATCCAACCGACAGCACAGCCATGGCAGCATCTTAACCTTGGCTCCAGCCACCCCTGCACGGTGTGTCACTGCACCGCAGCACTTCTCCATCCCAGAGACAGCCTCAGCCCTGAGCCAGCCAGTCCCATCCTTGGCTGCATCCTGGGTCTCCTCACAGCTGGGGGCTGTCCCCAGGTGAGCAGTGGTCATCGCCCATGGACTGGACTCTGCCCTGTGCCCACCCCAGCTGGCAGAGTCACGGTGACACACAGACCAGCTGGAGCTGCCAAGCGCCACCCCCTCCCACACCATCTGCCCACACCAAAACGTGGTGCCAAGAGGTGATGTCAGCCCTGCCGGCAGGAGAGGTGGGCGTGGGGGCGGATGATGCTCCAAAGGGCTCCTCAAAGGGACAGGGCTGAGCCAAACATCCCTTGGGGCTCCCTGCCATCAGACGTGCCATCAGCCAGGCACCAGCACGGACATGTGGGATGATAAGTTCATTTAGGCTCGTGGAGACACTTGGGCTCAGCACCTCAGTTTTGTTCCAGGCTTTCCAGCTTTCAGATGATTTCTGCAGGGATGAAGAAGTGGGCAGGGTGAAACGTGGCACAGGCTGGCTCATGGACCTGGTGGCACCAGGACTGGGAGCAGCAGCTGGTGCAGGGGGCTCACCATCTCAAAAAGCTCTAACAAACCCCAAGAAGTGCTGCCAAAGGCACAGGACTGGTGGGAGACCCAGGAGGGGTAGCAGAGGGAGGTCTGGCCCCACCGCCTTGGAACTTGGCCCCTCAGGGCCCTGTTCCCAACCACTGCTCCTGCCCCCTCCTAAAGCATGGACAGACAGAAACCAAGAGCAGATACTGAGTTTCTTAAGTAATAATACTTTAATAAAATTAAGTTCTTAATGTAATTTAGCACATTTAATACATTAACCCTTTCCCTTCTTTGTTTTCTACAAGTTGTGCAACATCATTATTTTAATTTTATTTTAATTTTTTCCTTCTCCCATTATACTATATGCCTCAAAACTCAGACAACGAGCCTAACTCTACTTCTATGTTCGGTTACATCTCTCTCTCAGGCCTTTATTTTTGCGTAACGCCGGAGAGATGAAAATACCTGGATGGAATATGTGATTGGTTTCCAATAGTAACAATCCCGACTACAGGTTTCCTATGACATTAAAAGAAAAGAGGGGAAAAAAAATAGCAAACACAACATAATAGGGAATGGACTTTAAATGGAAGGGCCACACAGTCGGGACGGCCGGGAATCACCGGGCGACTCCGTGGCCACTGGCTCAGCGCAAGGTGGGAGTACCGTGGAGCAGGACCCGCGACAGCGCCCGGGCCCGGGGGAAAGCGGATACACACCCACTTGTACAGCAATCTGGAGTGAGGATGAGGGGGAGCCAACGTAGTGCTGGGCAAGCAAAGCCATGAAGGGCTGGGGAGGGCTGCCCTTCCCCGTGTGGGTATCGGCGAGATAGGCTGCTGTGAGACCCTGTGGCTTGGGTTTCGTTTCACCTCATGTCTCCCATGGGAAATCCCACTGGAGCTGCTCTGACAGAGTCCCGAGGGCAGTAAGCTGAAGCCTGGATCTCTTTGATACCAGGGCAGAGCCGGAAGAAATCCTCTGCAGCCCCACAGGCTCCCAACTGTGCAGCCAGATGCCTGAGGGCTGCTCTGGGCATCCCTGGGGATTTCCCTGGCTTGCCTGGGGCTGGGATCAGAGCCAGCTCCACAGTGGTTGCAGCTCGATCAGACCTGCCAGTCTGGGATCCACCAGCCCTCATGCCCATCACCTTTCATGTTTGCTTAACACTGCTTCTAACCCAGGAGCAAATCCCATACTGCAAAACAGGATCCAGCCCCTGGTCTTTTTATTTTTCCTCTTTTTTTATGATTATCTTGAACAAAAGGCATAAAGAAAAAGGAAAAAAAGAATGCCAATGGTTTCACAGATGAGCAAAGCAGCCTGAGACTGCACCTTCCAACTCAGCTCTCGGGAGCCAAGAGCAGATCTCCTCAGCCACACCACACTGCTCCGTCTCCCTGCTCCATTTCTCTGCAAATTGTTTCTAAAGCATCATCACAAATCCAAAAAAGCACATCCTGCCATCACCAACCCAGTGCCACTGTCAGAGGGGAGCTTCATTTTCGTATCCCTGCAAAGATACCAGTGGAACAACTCCAGATTTTACATTAGTGTCACTTTACTGGGGGTGACTTTCAATTTGCTCCATTAGCAGCCCTGAAGTGACGCTGGAGCAGATCCAGCGGGAACGGTGCAGCCTGCCAGGGCTGAAGCAACTCCAGATTCCAGTAGAGTAACCCCATTGGAACAGGGGAGTCACACGGGAGAGAAGCAGAAGCTGCCCAATCTCTGCCATCTCCCACTGGCATGGCACAGGCAAGTCTGCCCAGCACAATTCCAGCTGAATTTTTCACCAGGTCAACTGACAGCAGAATATGACTTTGAGTTTCTACAGTATGTGAAAACCCACACTAAAACACAGAGATTGCTCCCTAACATCGTCAAAAGGGTTTTGGAAGAACCAGCCCACCCTGGCTCTGCTGCCACCAAGGAAGCCTTGCTGGGGCAGAGGCGGGATGGGACTCACTGTCCGTACACAAGTGATGATAAAGTGCATCCACTTTCCAGTCCAGGGTACCACTGTACAATGTCCATCACTGACGCTTCTTCAAGTATAAAACAAAAAAATGAGGTAAAGCAAAACTGAAAGAGCAAACAGGCCACCTCACCGCCCCAGCAGGGAAGGACCAGGCGCTTGATTCCACCAAGCACGAACTCCTCTGGAAGCGCGGGAGACATCGTGCCCTGCTTCCCGAAATGCCCCCGTGTGCCGGGAGGGTCCCAGGGAGGGATCCTGGATTCACAGTGCTATTTATATGCAGAAACCGAATGAGAACTGTCTTCATTCCTGTCCTGACCTATTGCATGGCTTTGCTGAGTGATGAATGCTGGTAACGGCTGCCCCGGCCACCTGAAGCAGGTGCCATCAGGGAGCAAGGGGCAGCCACCACGCTTCTTGAAGGCTTTGGGATCTGTGTGGATGATCCCGAGCTGCAGGGCATCCCTGGGTTTGCTGTGGCTGAGCCACGACACAGAGGACAGGAGCAAAGGCTAAACCCAGAGGGAACCACCTTCCAAGCGTGTTTTCTTTGTGGCACTGAGCTTTGCTAACAACGGCATTGGCGCTTGGTCATTTCTTTCTGAGTTCTATCCTGTAAAGAGATTTTGATGCAGCAAAAAGCATCACCAATGCTCTGCAGAGAAGTGCTAGCCTGGCTCTCAAACACATGGAGCAGCTGGCGGGGGCATGGGGCACATCCTGCCCCACCACCAGAGCCAGGGCTGCGCTACCTTGCCCTGCAGTGCCCAGAGTGGATCTGCCATCTCTGGAACACTCCACCACCGTGCACGGCCCTGCCAGCCAGCCCAGCACACCACCATGCACCACCAGCTCAGCGAGCCCTCAGTCCCACTCTTTGCACTGCAGGGACTCAGGATATGGCCAGAGCCCAACACGCTGTGCCGGTCAAGAGTGACCTTCAGCCTCCTCCTCGCTTTCGCAGCCAAAAACCAGGTGTGTGCCACAAGTGTCCCCCTCCCATCAGCAGGACAGTGTCGGGGCGGCTGTCAGGAAGCAAAGCTGTGAGATCAGGGATGCCACGGCTCGGCACAGCTGTGGGAAGGACCTCTTGGGTCAGCAGGGACTTTTGCAAAGATCTCACCTGCAGCTCCAATGCTAGAACCTGATGGTTTGAGGCTGAGTAAGGAAACACCCGACAAACCAAATCTGGCCTCCTGGGAGGTGCCAGATGCCAAGCAGGAGCTCGTCCCAAGGCTCATGGCATCTTCCGGTGCAACGCAACCAGGGCGAGAGAGAACCAAAAAAAGAAAGAAAACAAAGAGGGAACAAACCAACTCTAGTGCCCTGTCCCTGCCCCGTGCAAGGGCAGAGCCTCCGCACGGCACCTCGCTGCCTTCGAGCTCTGTCCATCACCTTACAGAGGGGAGATCACCCAATCTTCCT